CAACATAGCTTCCATCTTGTCGTCTAGAGGTTGAAGATTGATAAAAATCCACACATTTTTTATCCTCCTCTGACAATGCTGAGGTTTCATGTATATCTTCCGTTTCCCAAAATCGCTGAATCTCTTCAATGTTATTAAGCACCACGTTACAGTGGTACGTCTTGGTGTTGCCGCTGAGGATCCATCCCAACTGGGTTTGTTGGGCAATGGTCAATATACCTTCTGATCGACAGATACCTTCCATGAGGATAGTGGAATATACATCTGCGCCAAATAGGATGTCAATAGGCCTACTTTTATAAAATTCGGGATCTGCTAAAGTTAATTGATTAATTATAGGCCAATCTGGCTTTGGCAAAGTATAACTAGGTAAGTTATTTATAAGTTTGTTCATGATATATACTTCGGTTTCAAAAGTGAAGTCACTTATCAACGACGAACATTTGATCGTGATTTTGCCCTTACAGTTATTCTCCTTATTTCCAATACCAGAGATATAACCATGACATCTACTTCGCGGTAGCTTTAATAACTGAGCCGCGCTTTCCCTAATAATGGATGTCTGTGACCCTTGATCTAAAAGAACTCTCATTTTTTGATAAGATCCGTCCACAGCTTGTACGTCGATTATTGCAGTAGCAAGCAATATTTCTGAAGGTTCTTTACGAGGTGATGAAACTTTGTTATTTTCTTGCTGTAGTTGATGAGAAGGCGTTTTGGAAATCGTTGCTGCATTTGACCCAGATCGATGAGGCGCAAATGCGTCATGTAAAATGGTGTTGTGTTCATTATTGCATTCTTTACATCTAATTTCGGACAAGCATTTTTTGCCGTCGTGATAGTGTAAACAATTAGTGCAAAGTTTTAAAGTGGTGATAGCATTTTTTCGTTCACTAGGTTGCAATTCCAATAATTTTTGACATGTATGAATACGATGATCATTAGTGTTGCAAAAAATGCACTGTTTGCGATAGCTAGTTTTACCTTTAGACTTTAACGATTGCGACACTTGATTTGTCGAGTAATTAGTTCTAGGGTTTTTAATAGGATATCTATTAGAAGATTTTAAAAATATTGGTTTGCTATTAATTTGCGATTGAGATGTTTTCGGCGTGGAGTTTTCAATCTTCTTACGTGACGTTTCCAGCATCATAAACTTGGTTTCTAAAAAGTTAAGGAAATCTTCCAAGACAGGTAGTTCTCTAGGGGATTTCAAGGCTTGGAGATAGTCTTCGTATGTATCAGAATCTAATTTTTGAGATAATATACATACTAGGAAAGGATCCCAGGAAGTTACGTCGACTCCCATGTTTTTTATTGCATTTACACTCTCAAACGCAGTGTCATGAATGCGTTTTATGTGATTAGAGGATTGTTGCTGGCTTACCGGGATATATAACATATTGTTGAGATAAGATGTAAAAATCAGTCGTTTATTATTGTAACGATGATTGAGGAGATTCCAGCATATAGGGTAATTGTCGGAGCTTATCGGTAGATGCTGAATTAGCTTTTCGGGTTCACCTTTAATTTTACTTTTTAGAAACTGCATCTTTTGCGCATTAGACAAGGAAGGATTGTTGTGCACAGCCTCGGTAAAAAGGTCTTTGAACGAAACCCACTTATTGTAGTTTCCCTCAAAAGTGCCTATCTCCATCTTAGGGGTAGATTTTTCAATATGTGCAACGGACCACATTTTCTTATTAATATCTTTTTTGAATTGGTGGTAATACTTCTCATAATGAGTAAATTGCTCTTCGTACTCGGGGTTTGATCCGCCGTACTCAGTGTCTAGCTCCCAATGAAGCGAGTCAATAGCTTCCCAACGAGATTGCAGGATCTTAAGGATGTCTTCAAATTCCCATTTTTCCGAGACAAGATCGAGGTCGATATTGGAGGTTGTCCTTAAGAAAGCCTTAAAGTTGGTAGCCTGTTTTTTAAACCGACTTTCGGCTTCATTACCGTCATGCACAGAGATTTTAGTGGCAGCAGGGGTAGAAGTAGAAGCAACGTTAGGCGAAAGATTTGAGGTCTGAGACTTAGTAGGTTCGAACGTAGGAGGTTTTAATACAGGGGTTTGCGGTCTGTTTGCGAGAGGTGTATAGTTTTCAATAGTACTTTTTATGAGCTTATATTTTTCAGTTATTTGATCATATTGATTAGTACTAAAATAGGTATGGGATTTATCACCAAAAGATAGCAGCGTCATGTGATTGTTATGGAACTCTGCATAATATTGTTCCAACGTGGCTAATCGACGGCGTAAGTAATCAGGGGTTTTACGCTCGGCACCGTCCTTTTTAAAATTGGAGTGCAGTCCGTTTATGGCTTCGATTAGTTGACGTTGAGTTGCTAGGATGTCTTCCATTTTGACACGGGAAAAAGATAAAAGAGACCTTACTTGTACTGAAGGCTTCTCTGGAGATCAAGTGTCCTCGCAGTGGCTGCAAGAACAAACCTGGATATCCACACGATGAGATGAAGCGGTGCGATGGCGCGAAGGGATGAGGCGATGATTTTTCAAACCAGGTTCAAACGGGATCAGCAGGATAGTGAGATTTTTTGGGAACTGTTTGCCACAGTCTGGTTAAAGTTCTAGGCGAGTCACTCACACAATTGTTCTAGTTCGTGAACACACGCGCGATAGTCCCAAATATCCGGCTCGAAGGACCAATGTTCGGGGTTGGGGTGAGTTCAAGATAAACTCTAGGATGTAGAATGAAAGATATATTTCGATACTAATGAGATAACTACTAAGTCTAATGAGGTGAATGAGATGAGATTGAGTAGCGTCCGTATTCACAATCGTACTGAACGTACTGAGCGTTTTTACCTAAGTAATACATAATATATTCATGACATATTGCGGTGTGTCGCAATTACGGTGACATGATTAGTATACTTAGCATATTACAATTATTTGTTCGGTGATTGACCCGAACACCAATTAAACGAAATATGTCCCTAACAGAATTAGTTTTACTGAATACTGGAGTTTCCGTCATTCTCATACTAATTTCTATAGCCAATTGATGTCGTAAACAGTTGTTAAAATAGTGTTTGTAGATTGCGGAAACTCTCCATCGCTGTATTAGATTTGGGTATCGCAAACTTACTTAATACTGCGTCAGTTACGTAAATAACTAACATCTAGCTTATTAATTCCTGCAGGGATAAGTAGATATACCTAGTAAGTTGATCAATATAGAAATAATCTTTGTAAAAGATACAATCGGCCTGCGCCATTGTACTACCTCTATTAAAATTAATTTATTGTGAGTTGTCCTGTAGCTCGATTGATAGCGTTGACCTATATGTGTTCAGGCATGGTTTCGTTACCGGCAAAATGTTGGGTAGCTTGGTTTGCCATTTATAAATGTCTAATTTTGAGGTATTTCGTTTCTTTTCAAGTAGCAAGGCTTCAAAAGACCTAGTGCCGAGACTGTATTTGTGCATCAATCACCACACTTGCTCAATGCGGGTCGGCAATTTCAAATTTATATCTAGAAATTATGAGCCAAGTGGGTGTTACATTGTACAGTGACATAATGTGCACCTCTGCCTAACCCTTCGGGGAGAAAAGGCGTGATGTTATGTATTTATGTAAATTATGAACTTAAATTTCCTCGCCATGTTTTCCTTCGCCGTTTGTCCGTGGTGTCTCAATAGTCTTAGAAAGTACATATAACTTGGAATAAGTCACATTGATACTCGCTGTTGGTAGGTTTCAAACCTGCACCCTCAACCACCACCACGTCTCAAATAGAACAATATACCAACCAAATTATCCTTAAGGCTCATGTTTCCTTTCGTTCCACTACGGAATTCTCGACACGTATCCAAGATAATCCATTTTCGATCGACTGACACTATTGACTACTGAATACTTACTAAACCAAATACAAATGATTGGTAGGCTTTTATTTTCACGATTTTTTTTTCTTTGGTTCTAGGATTCGTTCTTCGTAAGTTTAAGAGTAAAGAGAGTGTACTTAAAACATATCTGTCATTAGTTATTAGTTGATTCTATTATGAGCCAGGGGTTAACATTCAAAACTAATTTAGATGAATTGGAAGCTCTTTAAATTAGATTCCTAAAACTACTTGTTACACTAAAAGCAGCAGTAAAGGAGACTGTGGAAAATTATTTAAAATATGCAAGATTCTACCGTTTACTTTCAAACATAAATATATTTTACTAGTTAACCACCACCGTACTCAGGAGCATGACTTGTCTTATGTAAAGAACAATTAATTATAACACACGAACTATGGCTGCTGGTAGATACAATGTACCTGGGTTCTATCACCAAAATCGTGACTCCAGAGACACCAACTATTTTGGTGTTAGAACACTAAAAAAGAGAATACCATACCTATTGAATAGTCTGCCGGCGGACATAAGCAGTGAAACAAATTCACTTATGTTTGAACATAAATTAAAGTCATATTACCTAGAAATGTCTTAAATTCTGTATAAGTTTCAACGCCTGTATTTATAAGTACATTTAATTGTAATGCCTAGTGACTCGATCCCACAGTCAAACCATTGCAGCGTTTTTGTGGGGCTTAAATTATAACATGCTTACCTGTGTGATTTAAAGATAAATAAATAAAATAAAATGTCGTGGTGGCCCGGAGGCTTACGACGCCCGCTTTTCATACATGAGAGTGCGGGTTCGAAACCTACCAACGGCAAGTACCAATGGGGCTTTTTCTGAGCTATATGTACTTTCTAAAATTATCTAGATACCACTGACAAACGATGAAGGAAAACGCCGTGAGGAAACCTGGGCTTATAATTTCTAATTATAAGTTTGTAATCGCCAAGCCGCATTGAGCAAGCGTGGTGATTAATGCTTAAACCTTCTCCATGTGAGAAGAGGCTTTGCTCAGCAGTAGGCATTAATAGGCAGTTGATGATGATGATGATATAAAATAAAATAATATTACAATTTTATTTATCTATAAAGATGACTAAGCCTAATCTTTTGTCACAGGAACTAGTGGGAGCGAACATTATAGCCTGGATTGGAGGAAGCCCACCAGTTGCCGAGCCAGAATGTGGCTTCGACGGCATCAAGTGCTCCCTACCTCATGACCCTGGGGTGCTGTCAGCAGCTGCTGCAGTCGCTGCAGCCGCCATATTGGCTGCAGCACTCCTCGTGCGTCACTACAGATATGAGCAGAAGTTGGCGTCGGTGTTGTGGAGGATCGAGGCTAAGGACCTGACCATCATACCAGCGTACAACTCGCAGACCACTGATAAGGTAGCGTGTGAAGTGAGTTATTGTTTAAAGTTTATTTATCTTATTGTTTATTTGCTGTTGTCGTATGTTACCAAGTGGTCTGGATGTATGCACGGTAGGGATCGGGTAGTATATCAATTAGTTAAAGTCCTGACTAGACTGCCTCATTGGCCGAGTGGTCGCAAGTGCGATTGCTGGGCAAGGGGTCTCGGGTTCGATTCCTGTATTACTGGGTTTTAAAAAAAAACCATATTGTCCGCACAAACGCAACGTTACGAAACCTATGTCATGGTGCAATGTCGCCTCTGCATTACTTTTAGTGGAATTGAATTAGCTACAAATCTTCCGACAGTAGATATTAGTTATTAGGTACTTTTCCTAGTGGGTATTCAATCGGAAAAGTTTATATTATTGATATTGATTCTGTAAGTGAGTGAGGTAATCACTAACGGGGAATTTATAATATCGATCTGATACTTTCAGAATCAATTTGAGAAATGCAAACAATATGTCCTCCAAACATTATGCTCTTAAAATATACTCTATAAAGTTGACAACCATCAACAGCTTATAAGTGACCACTGCTGACCAAAGGCCACTTCTCACACGGAGGAGGTTTGAGCATTAAGCGTGAGTCTAAACACGGATCCACGCGAAACACAATGCATTTTCTATTGTGTCTCACATCGGTGCATTCAAGCGGTTAATCACCTCGCTTGCTCAATGCGGGTCGGCGATTTCAAACTTATAATTAGAAATTATAAGCCCAGGTTTCCTCACGATGTTTGCCTTCACCGTTTGTCAGTGGTGTTTAAATAATCTTAGACAGTACATATAACTTGGAAAAAGTCACATTGGTGCTTGCCGTCGGTAGGTTTCGAACCCGCAGTCTTATGCGTGACAAGCTGGCGTCATAAACCAAAGTTAACTACTTTAAATTGTTCCCTAATCTTACTGAAAACGCTAATTTCCTTAGATAATTATTGCCATCCATTAAACTATCTATTTGGAGGTTTAATTATAATGTTTGTGTCTAACTAAATAAAGCCTGAGATTGCTTGGCATAACGATGTCAAGGTTGCGGAGGGTAATTAACAATATTCGATATATACTAGGAAGACGTGTGTAATGTAATGTAGCACATTTAGGGAATACTAGCTGTTACCTGCGGCGTTTTTTGAATCAGACCAAGAGTTAGCCAACAAATAAGCGCGGTTTTATTTAACGTAGATACTGTTACAAAAACATTTAATGACCGTTTTTTTAAACGTTGCCCCACACTAGGAGTTTCTCCTGTGTCGTGGGTGCGTTTACAAATATACAAGACTCGGAACAAAAATCTGTGGATCACACAAAGAGTTACTCCGTACTGGAATTGAAACCGCGATACGATGTCGCAGCCAGTTATCCAACCACCGCATTAAGCTGCAGTACACAGTTATGGAAGTATCCACCCGGTAAAAATTCGCGCCAAAAAATTATCTTATTTTATGCAGTTGTGACGCCAGAATCTTCATTGGGCCTTGACTGTGATTATTATGCACACGGAGGCCTAATTCCACTCCTCTACAATGTCCCTTTTTTTAAGGGGGGAAAATCATCGAATTACTGCTCCGGAGGGAGTGTCAGACTCTTACTGACTAAAAACCACCCCGTTCCTTCTCCTGCACATCGAGTCGGAGCCCCGGTTACCCGTTAGGTTCTCCGTGACCTACAATATCCCTAATCCCCAAATACTCTAAAGGTACTTGAATTTTTAACACCTAAAAGGCTGGTCACGCATTTGTGTTTCGGATGTCCATGGGCGGTTCCGATTTCGTAATATTCTCATATCGATACATACATAACAAATGGTGATTCAACTGCTCGTTTGCCTGCCTATACTATAAAAAACGTTTAAATTGTATAATACTCTTTTCGAACTAAATCTTATACTCTTATCTTATACTCTTATACTATTATATAAAGCGAAATAGTTTGTTTTTTGTTTGTTTGTTTGAACGCGTTAATCTCCGTAACTAGAAGTCTGATTTGAATAATTCTTTTTGTGTTGGATAGCGCATTTATCGAGGATGGCTATAGAACATCACGGTACGACCAATAAGAACTAAGCAGAGCGAGTGAAACCGCGCGGAAGTAGCTAGTTTGATATAAAACGTAGGTGCTGATGTCTCATGAATGCTATCTTCATGTCAAATGGGAATAAACACTCGTACACAAAATGTAACGTTTTTATATGAATTATATTTGTACCCAGCATTATCAAAGAATTTTCGCTCCATTTTATATGGTTCACGATTCGCGTTAATAATCACGTACAGTCACCAGTATACCAAGTTATTCTACTTTCAACCTAAACATTCAGCAATAAAGTTGAAAATGTGTTAAATAAATTTGACAAAACAGTATACCTTGATATGCTTGCCACTGTTCATAAGAAATAGGTCAAAACGTGTAAAGTTTCCAAAGGCTTGATATTTTGGGGTCTTCCCTAGGGTTTTTGATGCCAAAATAACTTGACTAAACCTTACACTAGTAATTCCCCAGAAGAATTGACAGACACGTGAAACGAACATATATTTTGCCCATTATAATAGACTATCACCAAACAATGGACGTATTTCCAGATTCCCAAACAATATATTATTATAATATTAATAAACCAAATAACTGCTCTGCCAAAATGCAAACTAAATGATTGCCTCGTTGGCCAAGTGGTTGCAAGTTGCGGGTTCGATTGACGGGTCGAACAAATATTACTGGGCTTTTAAAAAATCACAGTTGTAGTAGCACGGAGTCTGGAAATGTACCCGGTATATGGAAATAGGCTCACCCCCTATTACATGGGACTCATAACATAAATAGTGAAAAGTAGGTGCTACTTCTGTGTACACCTCTGCCTACCCTTTCGGGGATAAAAGACGAGATGTTATGTTATGTTATGTTATGTAAACCAAATAATAATATGCTTACGAATCGGACATAAAACCCACTCAACAATTATAAAAATAATTTGAATGTAAATAGTGTCTAACCTTTCATCTACTAGTAATTTCATCCTGAGCATAAATGAAGTGGCCCGGAGGTTTAAGACGCCCGCTTCTCATACATGAGGGTGCTTCGAAACCCACAAACTGCAAGTTAGTAGTCACAAACTGGAAGTTAGTACTACAAACTGCAAGTACTAACTTGTTGATTGTAACTTGCAACTTTTCCCGAATCATATTTACTTTTTAAGATCATTTAGACACCACTGACAAACGGTAAAGGAAAACACCGTGAGAAAAGAAAACTCCCGGGCTTACAATTTCCAATTATGAGTTTGAAATCGCCTGTATTGGGCAAGCGTGGTGATTAATACGTCTTTTTTTGTTTAGAAAAACATTGCCCCACACTAGGATTTTCTCCTGTGTCGTGGGTGCGTTTACAAACATACAATTTCACATACACATGACACCCAGACCCAAAACAACAATTTGTGGATCACACAAAATGTTGTTCCGTGCGAGAATCGAACCCGCGACACGTTGCACGGCAGCCAGTTGCCCAGCCACCGCACCAACCGTGCAGTCAAAGGTCTTCCTTCCTTCACATTTAAACCTTCTCCGTGTGAGAAGAGACCTTTGGTCAGCAGTGGTGAGTTATAGATAGTATGTTGATGTGGATAATGTAATGATTATGGTCAGCACTGAGTCTTAAACAAATGAGTTTGATTTGGAATTGTAGTTTTAAATTCATAAAACGACTGAAAATGCGAAATCATTTCAAATGTCCTATTTATTTGGTAAAGATAAGTAGGTTACATGATACGCTATAAATTTAATTTTAAACTATTCATGTCTATTACTATTCATGTACCATTAAAATGTGAATTTTATTGTTCACACTACGTATATTTCAGATGCATTTAACGTAAATATTATTGTTTGCTGAAAACTGAGTCTGATTGAAATTTCAATTTATTTAAACGGATGCTTGTCGTGGCTGAAACTTCGAAGTGATTTTCTCATTTAATGTAATTTCCTCACATTCTGATTTTATATCCGTAATGGACTGATTTGTATGGTTTTTGGACGGAAAATTCTTAAAATTGATAAAGTGAAATACCTTTATAGAGGCATTCGAAATTCCTAGAAGGTATACGCAGAAATGCAGGTATTTATCGTTGCCTATATGAATGTATGGCGTGCGTTGAGTGCATTGCACAATATCGGACTACATTTTCGGATCCGTGCTATAACTAAGAATTTGAAACAGGCCATTTGGAATGGTATGGTAGATAATGGTATATTTAATTTTCTTAGTCGCAGTTTGGCAGGTTGCTTTTTGATCTAAACAAGATTTAATACAAAAAAATACATGTTTAACTACTTTTCAATTACCATGTAATTCGAATTTATTTTCTTGTTTAAATATAAAATGCGTTGGTCTTGCTGGGCCATTTGTGTGTGTATATATTTTATTTATTTACATCGATTTACGCTGTAAACCGTATGTTTGCCAATCCCAAACGTTATGTAAGTAATAAGCAGTTATTTACGCCAGTAGGTTATACATATTGGTTCACGACTGAATAAATAAGAAGGAAATTAATAATAGTAGTTTTTGTAAAGAAAAAAAAATATTTTTCGTAGAGAAGAAAGTCGGCTACAATTCTCAGGTCGGTCATAGTTTACTGAATTAAGTTGGATAGATACATAAAGTTACCAACAGATTTACGCAACTACACTTCAGTGACACGAAAATTCTATATTTTACATTTAAAAATCTAAATCTGAATAAAAATACTTATATGCGAATCGGATGGCACTGTTGGTGCGGTGGCTGGGCAATCGGCGTCCGCGCAACGTGTCGCGTTCGATTCCCGCACGGAGCTATCATTTATGTGATCCACAAATTGTTGTACCGGGTCTGGGTGTCATGTGTATGTGAACTTGTATGTTTGTAAACGCTCCCACGATACAGGATAAAATTATGTATAGTGTGGTTGCCCCACACTATAATATTCTCCTGTGTCGTTGGATGTTATTAAAAAAAAATTAAACAGACCCTCGTAACATTTAACCATTTTATCTAAGTATTTTCTATCAAATATTTTTCGTACTCAAGCTTTACTTAAATACCATTTTTTACTAGACATCAATGCAGCATGACATGGAGACGCGTCGAGCTCACACCACCATAGCCATGTACAAGGGCAACGTGGTAGCCATCAAACGCCTGCAGAAGAAGAGCATTGACGTCACCCGAGCTATCAAGAAGGAGTTGAAACAGGTGAGCAGTGTATTATAGCTCTTGTGCGTGATGTTATGTATATGATTATGAGCCCCCAGAAGAGTTTGAAACTGGTCGAGTCATTTCTTAGATCAATTAGGGGAGTACAGACGGTGACAGTTCACTACTGGATTATGAGGACTATAAGCCATGTTACATTCTGGTTTCGTTTGTTATAATATATGGTTGGCGCTTCAAAAAGTTTACGTTTGACAGGAAATGCTGGTTTATGTCGAATGACTAGCCTCTCAGTCGGCTCTTACGGCATTCACGGGAAGCGTAACTGTCCACGTTGCGTAATTTGACGAATGCATGCATCCTTCACAAACAATACGGGGCCGACAAATGACAGATGCTTGCATCTAGCTTAGAAACAATGATAACTTATTACGTAGTTGTTAAAACAGCCTGTCACTGTTGACGAAGGCATGCATTCGGCAAATGAAGCAACGTGGACAGTAATCCTTATAGAGACAAATGTATTTTAATTTGCCGTTTCCACACGACTGCATGCCTTGCCCTTGATAAGCTAAACAAGTACTTAAGTAAGTCATGTGTGAGTTTATACTTCTATGTACTGTTATTATTAGAATTTGGGTCAAGGATAGACTTATCCCATTTGACATATAAAGGTATCTAGGCCCATATATACATATATACATACAAACGTACATCTAGTTGCGTTCAAACGGCGTTTCAATAGCGAGATATTGGGTGACCTGTGAGAGTCCAAAAAGCCTTTTGCGCAATGGATATTCGTACTTTAAAGACTTGCATGCATTTTTAAAATGGTTCGTCACAGATTTGATATTGATTCTGAAGTATGAATTTATTTTTGAATGTTATATTAGGGTGGCCTTTGATTAAAACGTATTATATTGTTATATTATGAAATAGTTAACATTTTAAACACGCAAATATGTGAGTACCTTTGAATTGATGACTGATAGAAATAAAAATAGTAATAATAAATAGTAACTGTAAATAGAAATATGGAACCTATTTTCGTATTACTGTCCTAAGATAGTAAACAATAACAAAATATCGTTTAATCCTATCTGTAATATAATCAGTACGTTCTTTACAACCGGCAGACTATTACATTTTATGGTGGCACTAAACTTTATGGGATATAGCCCAAATACTATAAGACCTTGAATGTATTTATATCCCATGTCTCTTACGTACATATCTGTTTATTTCATTCAAGTATTTGATTAGATAAGACTAGGTAGGATAAGATAGGACAGGATGTCGTGGTAGTCCGGAGGCTTTAGGCGCTCTCTTCTCATGCATGAGGATGTGGGTTCGAAACCTACCAACGGCAATTACAATGTGACTATTTCCGAGTTATTAGTACTTTCTAAGATCTAGACACCACTGACAAACGGTGAAGGAAAACATCGTGAGGAAACCTGGGCTTATAATTTTTAATTATAAGTTTGTAATCACCAATCCCCATTGAGCAAGCGTGGTGATTAAAGCTCAAACCTTCTCCGAGTGAGAAGAGGTTGTGCTCAGCGGTGGGCATATTTATAGGCTGTTGATGATGATGATGATGATGAGGTAAGATAGGAGTACAACAAATACTTTTTGTGTTAATCAAAACTCTTTTAAGTGTGGGAGAACCATACTTCAACACGAATGGGCTTGCTCGAACAGAATAATACCACGGCCTCACAGAAAATCGAAGTGAAATAACTTGTTTGAGTTGTATTTCATCGTGTGAGTGAGGTAACCGGAGGCCCAATTAACCCCCTCCCCAGTCTACCCAATTCCCGAACCGACCACAATCTTTAAATTCCAAATTCCCAAAAAGCTGGTAACGCACTTGTAACGCCTTAGTGTTCCAGGTGTCCATGGGCGACGCCGATCGCTTACCATCAGGTGATCTGTCCGATCATATACCGGCTTATGCCATAAAAAAAACTCTTCACACTCCAACAGAAAGAAATAACTCGGAAATCTACAACTCACCCACGAGCTCGTCACATTACAACAAACATCTTCCTATAAATCTTTTCACCCACGAACCCACACCATAATCCAAGGAACTGACCCTGAAACCTTTCAATAAGATTTATGTTATACAATTTATTTTTAGCCATTGATCTGGCTACCAAAATTTCCTGATTATACCATCTGATCCTCTAAGGTCAGAAGCTATTGATAACTGTAATTTTGTAGGTAAATCTGTATATAGACAATCTATATCTGCCTAGACAAATTTAGATTCAGGTGGCACAATGTGACATACTTTTCTTTTATTAGCTTCTTGCAGCGGGTTCACCCACGATGCCGGGATAGAAATTACATACATAACATCACGCCTTTTATCCACGAAGGGATAGGCAGAAATGCACATTACGACACTTAATGCCGCTGTACAATATAACACCCACTTTTCACTATTTATGTTACGAGTCCCATGTAATGGGGTTGAGCACATTGCCATATCTTTATTGGGACAAGCCCGCCACAACCTCCCAAAACCGCTGCAACTCCTGTAAGCCAGGATCTACAGTAGATACAATCATGAAAACACCTGAACATTGAAGTCCGGCGCGTCCCAGGGACATGAGTAACTGTCTTGGTTCCCGCAACGAAGTGAATCAGAAGATATTATAAGAGGAGAAGAAGAAACACATTACAAGTACATTGCCATATACCGCGCACATTTCCAGACTCCGTGCTACTACTGGGATTTTGTTCAAAGGACCCAGTACTACTTTGCATGACCCGGGAATCGAACCCGAGACCCCTTACCCGACAGAATAATATTAATCTAAGCGAAAAGGGTGTATTTTAAATGTAGGAACTTTTCTGTAGAGGAGTCTCATACTCCATCAGGGGTCTGTTGATGTTGTTGATGAAACGATCAAGGAATCCTTTTCCCTTCCTAAACCCACTACATTCTAAAAGTTGAATATGTTTAGTCTACCAACAAACTTAAACATCTATTCAATATCATATCTTGATTAGAAATGGTCGATAGCTCTCACAAGGAGAATACAAATAAAGCAATCCAATTATAGTATTTCATCAATTGAAACTAGCAGACGACCACAGACATTTAACTAAGCACTTATGTAAAAGTCAAGGCTGAACCTTAAATACAGTAGCCAAGTTGATCATCCTACTCAAATCAATCAATCTTATTCATTGGATTTTGTACCTTAAAACAATAGTATAAAGTTGAGAATGTAATAAAGAAATTTGTCAAAAAATCATAGGTTGACCTACTGGCGACTGTACTTTAGGACTTAAGCTATAAGTTTATCTAATAAGAACTAGTCTAGATGTGTATAAAACTATAATTATTATGTTTCTTTCAAACTTTTGTTATTAACAAACTTTAGAATATTCGTTACTGAAGTAAAACTAATTGAAATAAGGGACAAAATCATGAAAAATGTTATGAAACAAAGTTTATTAACTCCTTTAAACTCTTATTAGTAAATCTAGGGGGAAACTCTCGTTACCTACTAGATGTCTTTCGACTGATGATGTTTTGACGTAGTATGAATTTAATCTTGATCAAATCAACAAGCAAAATCACTACTTAGTATATAAACAAAAGCTAATCGCCGTCTGTCTGTCCCTATGAATGCTTCTATCTTTAAAACTACGCAACGGATTTTGCTGCGGTTTTTTTAATAGATAGAGAGATTTTTAATGAAGGTTTATATTTATAATACATACATATTGCACCCGTGCAAAACCGGGGCGGGTCTATTGGTCTATTAATGTCTTTTGATCTATTTCGTAACGGGAACCAAAGCATTTATTCATGTCCCTGGGACGCGCCATACTTTAGTGTTCCGGTGTTTTCATGGCTGTATCTACTGTAGATCCTGGCTTACAGGAGTTGCAGCAGTTTTGGGAGATTGTGGCGAGCCAAAACAACTTGCGAAATAAATAACCGGTCTGATTAATCTATCTGTTTTTGTCACGAACTGCATACAATGTCAGAAGTCGATCTTAGTCCATAGATTTCGGATAAAGATCAACTAGGCTATTCTTTAACTTAATTTCGAAAGATCTAAGCGACTTCGAGCGCGGTCCGCCATGTTGGTCGAGAATAATCTCGACCAATAACGGACGAGAATGCGATCGAGCTCACTTCGAGTTCGAATTGAGAGTTTTAAAATACCATAGCAGTTTTAATTACACCCGTACGTGTTATCGCATGACTAATTCCTGTTTGTAGGTAAATAATATTAACAAAATATTTCTTCTTCAACCAGATCCGTGAGCTTCGCCATGAGAACCTGACGGCTTTCGTTGGTGTCTGCGTGGAGAGCGGATCAGCTTGTATCGTGTCAGCCTACTGCTCCAGAGGTTCCCTGGCCAGGGTCCTAGCTGACAGAGACCTTCATCTAGACGATATGTTCGTCGCTAGCCTGGTAGCTGATCTTCTTCGAGGACTGATGTACCTTCACGATTCGGCATTGATATCACATGGGAATTTAACGTCCAGTAACTGTCTGGTAGACAGCCGTTGGGTCCTGCAAATAGCTGATTATGGACTGCATAATTTAAAATGTAAGTATTATATTACAGTGGAAAAATATATATAACAACGAATAATTTAAGTGTTACCACGCACCGGACTTCAATGTTCCGATGTTTTTATAGTTGTATCTACTGTATTACAATATCCGGGCTTTCAAGAGTTGCAGCGATTTTAGTATTAGTCTATGTACATCGAAGACATGTGGACATATTTATATTTTAGAAGACTTTATTTCCTTACAAAAGATTATCTTCAAGCTTATCTAAATAGACAGATGAATAAATGACAGCACAACATGGTCAAGGTTTTTTTATCCTTTCTATAGTCGGTACCCAGAATATAGTGTTACAGAGAATTTTATTGACTCACCATTCAGTCGAGCATAAAACATTTTTTTCCAAATAAAACCATTGTATACCCATTACGATTCATCCACGTTTAAATCCGGGTACCGTAGACGGTCGGTCGTTGACCGCGAATAAATATCTAGGTATTTGGGTCAAAGTAAAACATTTACGCACTGATTTTTAGGTAAAACTGAAGTAATCGGTTTATTTTGTCGAGTTTCATAAGTGTGAAAGTGACGCTTGATGGGCCCAATATCTCTTCGACCTGTCAACATTTTAACTGCACGATTAGCGCGGTGTCTGGGTAACCGGCTGCCGCGCAATTTGTAGCGGGTTTGATTCCCGCACGGAGCAGCGCTTTGTGTGATCTACAAATTGTTGTTTCGTGTATGTGAACTTATATGTTTGTAAACGTACCCACGACACAGGAGCAAACCCTAATGTGACGAAAAAAAAAACGCCTTGTGTGATAAAATATAACTGAAAATTTAGTTACCTTTATAATGAAATAAATTTTGTTGTAAAAGTGATATATTTCTTTAATTTTATAGAGGGATACGTCCATTATATAGGCAGAAATTGGTATCAATGTTCCGGTACCTGGATACAGTAAGTGAGAGTTTCCCCCTGCCCCTCGAAAAATGATGACGCAATTAAACAATTTCCTATATGGTCTGCAATACATTTGAGATACTTTATGTTGCAAGTATCGTAAGCACACTCCAACTTATGTATAATTATGTATTCTATATTTCAACTTCCATCTCACCTCCTATATCTTTTCTGTTAGATGGCTGTTCTGACGCAGAAGATGCGTTGCGGATGGAGCGTCGCATGCTATGGAGGGCGCCAGAACTCTTGAGGGATCCCAATCCAAACCCCAGAGGGTCACAGAAGGGAGACGTATACTCCTTTGGGATCATATTGTATGAGATCCTTGGAAGAAATGGACCTTGGGGAGACACGAATCTTACAAATGCTGGTAAGAATATTTTTTATAAGTACCGCCCATTTTTAAGGGGGGAAAATCATCAAATGACTGCTCCCGCCTGGGTGAGGCGGGAGGGAGTGTCAGACTCTTACTGACTAAAAACCACCCCGTTTCTTCTCCTGCACGTCGAGGTGAAGCCCCGGTAACCCGTTAGGTTCTCCGTGACTCCAAATCGGCATTAGCCCTGTTGGGCCCCATCCGTGGTGGTCTGATGGCTCTTTGAGGCGCGCGCGGAACGCTCGGCGCCGTACGCTCAGGTCTGTTTCTGGTCGGACGGGGAGCCACCCATGCTCACCGTCCGCAGGCCCGATAAGTACAGCTTAACAGCTTGTTAAACATTAAGTATTTAAACTATGCAAAGGTTTACTGCTTAATCTATCTATGTTTATAGAGTAAAACCGTTTTGTCAATTAATTTAAAAAGAATCCGGTAAATACATTTAACAAACCATACTGTTCATTGAGGTTTCATGAATTGCGATGAATAATAATATAGATACATACATAACATCACGCGTTTTATCCCCGAAGGGGTAGGCAGAGGTGCACATTATAGCACTTAATGCCACTGTACAATCTAACACCTACTTTTCATTATTTATGTTATGAGTCCCATGTAATAGGGGGCGAGCCTACTGCCATATGCCAGAATCCGTGCTAATACTGAGGTTTTTTTTTACAAACCCAGTACCTAATACTTTGCCCGACCCGGGAAACGAACTCGGCCAATTAGGCATTAATAATATATTGGAGACAAATAAATATTTTGTTCATATTTTGACTGGACTGAAATAAAACAAATAGACAGATTACACATTATTTTTGTTTACCTTTTGTTTTACTTGAGTTGTAGTTTTAGTTTTAAGATACCTATATGGCATGAATAATTATATAACTCTATTTTATTTTTATCACGCTAGCATTGTACGACTACCGTGTACAGTAAATTATTTCCAGCGAGATGTCTTTGCATGAAGAAATGACTGAACTGTTTTCCTTAGCGACACCTTTGACGTCATAATTGCTTGTCAAAATTTTCTTACATGTGTATACTTTTTATGGAAACTCTGAATAATCAACGCATTTTCCTCGTAAGCAACCAAAGGACAAATTAATATTTAATCTTCAATTGCCTTAATAAGATGGAATTTTTTTTTTATGACATAAGCCGGTAAACGAGCAGACGGATCACCTGATGATAAGCAATCGGCGTCGCCCATGGACACCCGGAACACCAGAGGCGTTACAAGTGCGTTACCGGCCTTTTGGGGATTAGGAGTTTGAGGATCGTTTAGGATTCAGGGATTGAGGAGATTGGGGAAGGGGAGGGTAATTGGGCCTCCGGTAACCTCACTCACACGACGAAACATAATGCAAGCGTTGCTTCACGTCGGTCTTCTATGAGGCCGTGGTATCACTCCGGTCGAGCCGGCCCATTCGTGCCGAAGCATGGCTCTCCCTCATTTAAATGGAATTGTAACGAGATATCTATAAATATTTTTATGCATTAGCTATGGCATGCCAATGGTGTAACAATCTTTAAAGAAATTTAAAGTTTGTTTAATTTAATACAAATTACAGTAAGTACAGTGTACTCGTTGGCCGAGTGGTCGCAATTGCACCTCCTGGCAAGGGGTCTCGGGTACGATTCACGGGTCGGGCAAAGTATTACTGGGTTTTTTTAATTCTCAGTAATAGCATGGAGACTGGAATTGTTCCCGGTATATGGCAATAGGCTCACCCCCTATTACATAGGAACCATAACATAAATAGTGAAAAGTGGCATTAAGTCCCGTAATGTGTACCTTTGCGTACCCCTTCGGGGATAAAAAGGCGTGATGTTATGTTATATTAGTAAGTACCAAAAATTAACAAAATGCAACGTTCATTTTTATGCCTTCTATTCATTTATAGAGCCAAAACCAGACTCGGTAAAAAAATCTTACTTGTTAATTTTTAATTTATTTAACGTATTTACAATAAGTACAGGACTATCCATTTAAAGTAGCAAAAGATTTTTTAGATTCCTATATGCTAAACTATTTTTTAGGTAATACCTATGCACTAAAACAATATTTTTCTTTAAACAGAAATCATAGGTCGAGTCCGGCATCCAATAGGCGGCGTGTTATTCAGGCCACCACTGGGCGGGCTAGTGGCACGACCAGCTGTACTGGCTGTGCTGAACGCGTGCTGGAGCGAGCGACCTGAACGTAGACCCGATCTCAGGCTGGTTCGCGTCAGGTTGAAGGATATGCATGCGGGCATGTAAGTACTAGAATTATTACAGATTTACATTAAGATAGTCTAGAATGTTACAGATTATGGATAACTAGCCACTTCCGCGCGGTTTCACACGCTCTGCTCAGCTCCTATTGGTCGTAGCGTGATGTTTTATAGCCTATGGTCATCCTCGATAAATACGCTATCCAACACAAAAAGAATTATTCAAATCAGACTTGTAGTTACGGATATTAGCGCGTTCAAACAAACAAACAAAAAACAAACTCTTCCGCTTTGTATAATAGTATAAGATGTTATTGATAACATTGTAAAAAATATTTTGTTAAAAGAGTAACGATGGGGATTTTTCTCGTTCTTGTCCATTCGAAACTACACTTTGGAACGAGCGCCTAGCTTCATTGACAAACAGACGGACGAACAATTTAATTTTTGACGTATCAAAAGTGCTTAATTAAGGATTAATTGAAATAAATGCTTTGACTTTGGAGTGAACAAGGTTATTAATAAAATCGAAGATGTGTTAACCTCTTAACTCTTTGAGTAACGTCATTATAGTCACAATTAGCCTTTTTCCTGGGAAGATTAAAAAAAAATCCGCTAGGGGCAGCACCGGTGGGGGGTACATATGTTTTGAATTCTCTATTGACAACAACGTCAAACGTACGTCAAAGGTACATCTTCAGTTAATTCCATTTTAATTCTACACGTTTGACGTTGTTGTCAATAGAGAATTCAAAACATATGTACCCCCCACCGGTGCTGCCCCTAGCGGATTTTTTTTAATCTTCCCAGGAAAAAGGCTAATTAAAGCACAATAGGTTGCAGTCACAGGTGACCGCTCGGTGTTTGACAGTTTAAGTGTCGGTATATGAGACACAATTGAAAATACATTGTGTCCCGCGTGGATCCGCGCTCCGGCATACTACGGGTTAAGCTATTTTATAGATAGCTTTGAGTGAAAAAGCGTATATGCGTATGCAGTCTTGGCATTTGATATTAAGTAAATCGTTTATGTAGAAGTTAATTTTAATGTTGTTGTTTCTCAAAGGCTTCTAACTTCATCGGATTCTTGGCGGGATGTCAAAAATAGTTTCCTTTTTTGTAAAATTATTTTTGTTAGCATATATTGTTATGTAATAGGTATATTAAAATTACAAGATGAAATGGTATTCCATTTAGTCTTGGAATTTGTACGCAAATACTGAATAATGAAGTTATTCGTTTATATCAAGCGCTATATGCCCATGATCCTTCTTATCTATACCAAGCTAAGCTGACATTTGAATCATGCTGTCCAGGAAAACCAACATCTTCGACAACATGCTGGCAATGATGGAGAAGTACGCGTCCAACCTGGAAGCTATCGTCGCAGCCAGGACGGAACAGCTGCTGCAGGAGAAGAGGAGGACTGATGACCTGCTCAACAGGATGTTGCCTAGGTACGTCTTTGGGCACTAGTTTTTGTGTAAAATAAAGCGAGAGTTACTGTCGATCAAATAAATTTTCCAATTCGAATTCTGGTCCTGTGGTCTCGGATGTGATTTCAAGTTTAAGAAAAGTAAATAACATAACATCATTCTTTTTATCTCCGAAGGGGTAAGCAGAGGTGCACATTATGATTAAGAAAAGTGTAATCGTATTATTTTTGGTTGCAAGATTTGCAAGGGTAACTGTCTAATCTAGTGTTAATGAGAGACTTTGTATCCCGGGTCAGGGAAAGTATTGGTTTTTATATGTACATAATTATGCTTCATAAAGCAATAATACTAGTTCTTAGATAACTTAATATGTATTATAATTATGCATCACAAAAAAAATATTATTCCGATTACTTCGATTAGAATTAATTTTGATATGCATAGGGTTAATGAACTCTATGTTTTCAACGATTTAATGCTGGAACGTTCAGTATTTGGTCAAGAAATTCGAAATTCCATGTTCAAATTCAAACGTCAGAATATTGAACTGTAATTTTGTGCTTTATTTTCCAACTCATTGGGTTAAAAATTTAATGACACGCTTCGAATAATTTTGTAAGTAATATTTTGTATTTCGAACAGAATTATGAGTATCCAACGGTGATGTTGCGATTTTTTATATGGTTGAGACTCCATCAAGCGACCGCTTCACAACTTTCATATAAGTACATACGTACCCGATAAACTAATGTGATAGATAATTTATACAAATTACGTTCATAAGAGGAACATGAAAGGTTACTGGGGCTCCGGCATGGGGGGCAGGAGTAGGATCGGGGTGGTTTTTAATCAGTAAGTCTCACACTCCCTCTCGCCTCACCCGGGCGGGAGAAGTTACTCGATGATTTCCGCCCTTTAAAAATTTTAACGTCAGTTAAATTGGATCAAAAAAATAAGTTTGAATATTTGACAATTCTTCCAAACTAAAAACTGTCAAATGCCAATTTTATTTTACAGTTAAGAATTAACTGATGATTGAAATTGGCCCTAATTATTTTTCTGATAGTTACACAACGACCTTACCCGACACCTTATAAACAGGCCCTTAATGGCGTACATAGAACACATAACATCTTGATTGACCATAAAGAAATAAAGTAAGAGTGTGTGAGAGCCATGCTTCGGCACGAATGGGCCGGCTCGACCGGAGTGATACCACGGCCTCACAGAAAACCGACGTGAAGCAACGCTTGCGTTGTGTTTCGTCGTGTGAATGAGGTTACCGGAGGCCCAAATACCTTCCCCTTCCCTAATCTCCCCAATTCCTGAATCCTCAACGATCCTCAAACTCCTAATCCCCAAAAGGCCGGTAACGCACTTGTAACGCCGCTGGTGTTCCAGGTGTCCATGGGCGACGTCGATTGCTTACCATCAGATCATTCGTCTGCTCGTTTACCGGCTTAAACCTTAAAAAAAACACTTAGATGGGTTAATGTAGGTATAATAATAATATATTACAATAAATCATTTATTTCAGACTAATTGGTCCATATTGGGTTCGTAAAAAAAGACTTATAAACTATGTTAGTGAAATACAAGGTGTAGTTTTGAAGCCGTGTCATTTCTCGGAAGCATGTCACAGAAGTCATAGAAGTTCAATGTAACAGAAAATTTCGGGCCAATAGTTAAAAATACGGCTATAATAAATCGTTTAAGTTCGACAATATTTCAGAAAAAGCGACAACAATGCTTCTTATTGGAGTTTAATGGAATTAGGAATAATGACAAAAACGTGTTTGAGTTTGTGTGTGTTAAGCCACGTTATAAAGCTAGTTACAAGACGGCGGCGTGTAGTTCGCACTTGCGGATTTCCGTAATTTACAGAAAAATGAATAATATTTACGTACAATATTTTTTATTGATTTGGACTCAGAATTGATAGCCGAGTTACTTCCTAGAAAATGATGCGGCTTTAAAACAACACCTTGTAAAAAACCGAATAAACCACTGCAACAACTTAAAATTTTAGGGCACCTGCCGAAGGCTCACAGGTAACGTGAACCATCGTCCAGTGTCTCATAATGGAACAGTCGGCATCCATCTTGTATTATAATATAAGATACATGATGTAGTGTTCAGTGTGTGACAGTTCTAGACTTATAACGTAATGTATGTTACATTATTATGTGCGTCTCTGCCTACCCCTTCAGAAATTACAAGGCATAACATGGCGGTATAGCGAACAAAAGTCTAATCCGCTCAACTTACATAATAAAGTAGTAGCCTTATCGTAAAATTCTCAAACATGTCAATAATTTCGTAGAACTTGTTGCTACTTAGTCTTTCACCGAGTTTGCCCAATAGCGAGATGTATTCTAAAAAATATTGATATACATATTTTGTACCTTATTTTCATGGTAAACTGAACGCAAATTAACTTGTATTAGAGGATTTTTACTCACAGAGGTGAATATTTATATTTTCGGGGAATTTTTTGAATATCCCCGGGACCGATCGCCAATAGACAGATAGAACATTTTTATTTATCTGTTGAACATTTATTTGTAATACCTTTGGATTTAATCATAGTAAATTATTTTATTAAAAAGAATTCTTTTCTCCCACCAGGACTGTAGCAGAAGCCTTGAAGCGAGGCGAAAGGGTACAGGCAGAGAGCTTCGACTGCGTGACAATATATTTCAGTGATATTGTCGGATTCACCAAGTTAGCGGCAACTAACACTCCTATGCAGGTAAGGACAGTTATAACTTAGTCTAATATCAGAAATTTTAACTTGCAAGTTCGAATTTATTTCAAAGATCGAATTTCGAAGAGTGTGGCAACGTTTTCTTTAAAAAAATATATGTTAAGTGATCATCTGTGATCGCAGTTATATTTTCTGTCCAAGTAGAATTTAAATAAGTCGACAAGAAAATATAACCGGTAAACTGCTTAAAAAAAAAGAAAAAATGTAAAGTAAATCACCAATTATATACTATACTCAAAAACATTTTTAAACATTAATTTTCGTTTTACAATACCTTTTATTTCTTATGAAGATTTACAAACATAATGAATTAAATAAGCATTTACTTAACAATAATATTACATTCAATCAAAAATGATATACGCAAAAAATTGAACAATAATATAATGTTACCAAAACGAATAATAAATTTGTTATTTTTCCGTTGACTACAAAAATAAAAAAACAATTTACACAAAAGGAAACTCGATTTAGATCTATTTTTAAAAATAAAACAAACTCTATTCTCGTTTCGAATCTAATAAAAAAAAATATTGTAATTATTATGAAACATAAGGTAATAATATGATTCTTTATTCCATGACCTTTTTGTGTAAGTGAAAATTAAAAAAGAGCTGAAGAAACGTGAATAGATTGTATGAGGAATGATATAAAAGACAATGGGGTAGATGATTAATTTTTATTTTAATACCCGTCTGGTAAAAAACATTAGACACGTATTTTTTTATTTTCTGACGGAAACGAATAGTTTCGAATCTATATTGATTCGAAATATCGCATGACGTCACTATGGAGTAAGATTTATACTCTAAAATGATATTAATAAGCTACCTCCTAAACTTTGATTTTTCGTTTTATCCAAGTATTGTTTTCTTATACGTCAAAATAAAAAAATACGTGTCTAATATTTTTTAATTACCTAACTTACGGACTAATTCGATTTTTAAATTTCATACTCTGTCATCATCCCAATTATAGTTATTGCACCAACTTTAAATACTCTAACAGAGTCTAACACAACTAAATGTGCTGCTAATGTAAACTAATCAAGTATAAGAGTTACAGCTCTTAAATAGTCATTATTTTCGGCCGTTATTCATTTACAGATTAATATAATACCAACCGCAATCAAATATTGGTGGATAGACTAAAAGTCATCGTACATCTATTAAGTACGGCTCCGGTACGGCTTACACACGGCTCCGACACGGTCGTTTTTGCTTTCGAAACAATACAACGCGCGGGCGGTGTGCTTACAGCTTTTTTATATAGACGTTATGAAATATATCCTACGACATACGTTTTAAAGTTCATAATATTTTTAATTGCTGGGTTGCAGCCGTGTCGGACCCTGCTTGATACGTAGGATCTTTAGACCTTTTGATATTACTTGTATGTAGTTTAGACTTGAGATTGACGTACTTTGGGTTATTAGTTATTATAATATCGGTTATTAATTTCGGCCGATACTTATCAAATTATCCGATAATATATTGTGAATGCCTGTGTAATATCGATAAAGCCGCATACATATTATTCATCCCATGTCTACACCTACCAGTAAAAATGATCATTGTACTCCAAACACAATGGTCTTCGATCATAAGTCGAATTCTACGAACATAAGTCGTTACTTGTGTTCGTATCGTGTGCGCATTACGTTTCGTCAAATTTGTAGATTGATTTTCCTATAGAAAATTCCCAGAATATACGAACTCAGTCATTCATTATTAATTTGGCTTTCGAGAAATACTTCCTTGATGTTACGATGTGTGATTTTTATGTCATGGGAGTTTGTTGTAGGATACAAAAGAATTATTAAGGTTGAGATTTTATAATATTTCTAACCGCCTTATTTTTTGATTGGACGCTTTCGATCGTATCAACTTACTACATTTTGTTTTACCATTGACTTTGGCTCTATATGTAAGAAAGAAAGTGTCAGGTTAACCTAGAAACAAGACTAGAAATTGTTGCTATCCGACCATTTTACCTCCCCCCGCCGCATTTCTGAATGAAACAGTTTAATTCCGCAACAAATAATCGGTTTTTACTTCTTTAGGTGGTGGAGATTCTGAACGACCTGTACACCTGTTGCGACGCCATCATATCATATTACAACGTTTATAAGGTAATTAAAAACCAGTTAACTTATGTTTTGGACTATTGTAAACTCTTTTGGAATCAGCCAACATAGCAAGAGCTGAGACGTCATGCACACATAAATGTCCTACAGTCGGTGGCGCTGTGTGTTGGGTTGTTCCGTTCCCAAGAAAAAGGTTGACCGGACCAAATGCTGATACACACGTCATATTCGTGAACCGGGTACCTTCTGCTGGGTCAGGTCGGCTCTCTCATCGTATTGGTGGACTTATTTCGTAGAGCCGTCGAAATAGTAAATTATTATGTATTTTTTATATTTGTTTTTTTATAGATGTGGTTAATTGTAGTGTGTAACTAACTAGGTACTTTATAAATATTGATTAGACGTATTGTAAAAAAAAATTATGACAAGGGTATGAACCAAGAGTTCGTGGAGAATTAACATTAAAAACAAGGTAAGGATAAATAAATTTAAAAATTACAAAGAATAGAATCATTATACATAGTACTCTGACCAGACCCTTCTATAGGTTGAAAAAAAAAACTTCAGAACAAATTGTACATATCCAAATAAGTTCATAATAACATAATTCTCATCTTCCACGCAGGTAGAAACAATAGGCGATGCCTACATGGTAGTGGGTGGTCTACCGGAGAGGTGCTCCCGACACGCTGCTGAAGTGGCCTCCTTAGCTCTGCATGTACTTGATGCGGTGCCTAAGATCAGGTCTCGACACATGCCCGCCGCCCGACTGCATATTAGAATAGGTGAGTGTTTTATTATCAGTAGCAGAGCCATGGTTTTGCACCAAAATCCGATGATTTTGCCACGGGCCCTGAATGGTATAGTTACGCCACTGGGCAGAAGTTATAATAAATATTGAGTCCCAGTTTTCACCAGTTAACGATAGCACGCTTACCATCCACCAATCACTAATCCCGTATTCCATTATACTTACCGAGAATTTAGAACTTATAAATATTCAATCAATTTTATTTACTCAAGAATCGTGCCAAGCACAAAACGCACCCTCTATATTAAAAAAGCAGGTACGGGCGAAATAGGTCCAGAAAAAAAAGATTAAATAATTTGGTTTAAAATATGGACCTTAAAATCTCACCAATGACCACTTTCTCAGGTATACACAGCGGCCAATGTGCAGCAGGAGTGGTAGGAGTGAAAATGCCAAGGTACTGTCTTTTCGGAGACACGGTGAACACTGCAGCAAGGATGGAATCCAGTGGAGAACCTCAAAGAATCCATGTCAGCCACGATACCTACCTTCTCCTCAAGCAACATGGAGGGTACCATTTTAAGGAGAGAGGAATTGTTAATATCAAGGTAAGGCGATGAGGGTAGGTTTTGATGGAATTGTTCTAGATTTGAGAATAAATCAACCTACTCAGGGGAAAGATCAAATGTTGGCCGAAATAAAAAGGAAAAAGTAGATTGTCTGTAGTTATTTCAATTTCATCAAACGCCTCTTTGAGGAGCGGAGGGAGGCCTCCTCCCATATTTGTACAAAAGTCCTTATAAAATCTTAATAGGTTTACTAGAAAATGGACCATAAAATACTTCAGCGCTTTTGACAACAGCTTCCAGTCAATTAAACTTTCATTAAGGTCGAAAATAGTCTTAAACGTTTTTATAAATAAGGTCAAAAAGATAGGTGTGTAACTTAATGACTAAATTAATTTTGATAATTGTCACATTGTCGTTGGTATAAGCAAAAACAGACCTTATTGTTTTACGATTTGTGAAGGACCTTCAGCCTTACAGTAAGCCAAATTTATAGGCAATAAACCTAAAATAAATGGATGAGACAAAAAATATGAGGTCGCATTTTCTCTGTGTCTCGTAACTTGTAAAGAAATACACATTGTATATTATTCACCAATATTTTTATCGCAAAGATCAAGTCCATTTTTTTCAGTTATGAAAGACAAACATATTTTAAAGTTTTTTTTCTTCTAGGGCAAAGGAGAGATGAGGACGTGGTGGTTAGTGGGAGAAGACCATGAGAGAAGAAAAAATACTATGAGTAGATTCCGTGAGTACCTTTGTACTGTTATATTGTCCACGTTAGATAAAATACCATATTTGGTTATCTACGTATACTAACATAATCTCCCACTCCAGAACCAGGTCTACTCCGCAACATGAACGAAGAGAGCGAAGACTTATGGGGGCTGAACCGGTCCATTCTGAACATCAGGGACAGGGCTCGTCTCTCCTGCGGTGGTCTAGCAGGACCTGGCTCCGCCTTGTCCTCACCAGGACCGCCAGCCTGTGACTGTTTCATCCCCAACAGAGATCACCACTCAGCTCCTGTAGTCCTATTCTGCGATGAATGACGTTAACTAAGCTCCCTCCAATGTTTCTGGTTAAAAAACGATTGTGAGATAGATGAGAAGACTTTGGTGGATGATGATGAAGGCTGCTATGTAGAGGATAGTTTTAGTGACTGGATGGTGGTGTACCAATGTGGGGGGAATGCTATTGATGATGATGTTGCTGGTAGGGCTCGCAAGCTGGCCGCTCTAAGGAGACTGTACTGTGCGGATTATGAAGACGGCACGTGGTTGTAATTGAACTGCTAGGTGTAAGTGTGTTTGTAGTTTGTATAAGGTTTGTGGTTGTTTAGGCCCCATTTTGGGATTTTTTTATACTGCCCTCTAAAGAGGACAAAATGGTTCGTTTGATTGACGTCAGTTTAGTCATTGACCAAAGTATAAGGTGAAACTGGCGAAACGATAGCTATATATTTCAGAGCCGAGGTTTGTTAAGGAAATCTGTTTAATTAAAATAAGAAGATAATAAGAACTATCAATGGTTTCCGTCGTTATAAAATACCTCCTTGTATATTTCAAAATATTTTAGTTGGTCGTCTTATATTAACCACCTCAATTGTTTTTAAATTGAGGCTTTGTCGTTTTATTGAAGCCTAGTTGTTTTATTTTATTTAACAAAAGAAAACTTTTTAAATTTGTTTTTCCGAATCGCCGCACCGAATTGTAGTTTAAGGTTTTTATTGAAATTGGCTAAGTCTAGTTTTACGCGACCATTTAGGTAGAATATTTATTTGTACCGTTAGTTATTTATTTCGAAACGACCTATTTTTTAATGGTGAGTTAACAGCAAGAATTAATTATTACTTGAACTTAATTAATGTATGATTCGTATTTTGAATCATGGTAATTACAACAATAGGGTAGATGCCTAATTTTTATTTCAATGTCCGTCTGGTAGATTATTTTAATTATTTCATTAGACACGTATTTTTTATTTTCTTACAGAAACGAATACTTTCGACGTTATATTGATTTGAAATGTCTCGTGACGTCACTTCTATATACATTTAATACGTACACTCCTTAACTTTGATTCGTTTTATCCAAGTATTGTTTTATAATACGACAAAATTAAAAAATACGTGTCTAATATTTTTGCATTACCTAACTTACGGACTAATTAGATTTTTCATTTTCATACCTTATCAACATCCCAATTGCCACTGCAATGACTATTTACACGAATATTATTAATAACGAATATATCTAATTTATAGTGTTAAGTCGATAAAAATAATAAAATTTACCTGAAAATATTTATTAAATAAGATGATAAACCCCAAATTGGAAATAAATGTTAGTATTAAGACTTATTATTATGTCAAATATCCGATCACTGCATACACTACTTATTTATCCCGTGTAACTTGTAAAAAAGCTAGACTTGTGGGTACTGTTAACTATACCTGGGATCAAACAAACGGAGCCGTTTATTTATTTTATCTCGATAAATATTTTCTGATCCAAGTATTTTATTAATTGGTGACGTATACCTATCGTATAAAAGGCAATTTAGTTACCTACCTTTAAAATTCAGTGGTTACTCAGATTCCAATAGTAGGCAATTTAATACTTTCATGCTAATGTAGACAATCTAGTTTCCTTATGGCATCGGCATTTCTTTCTTTATTGAAACAAAGAGTTTCCTTTTTTGTATAGAAGCAATATTTTTATGGATTGTCAGTATGCATATGTTAGAATATACGATTGCTTTTTGTTTTATTTTTTTTATTTTAGTACGTTTTTTAATTTTTATAACGCGTCAAGCGTGTCTTTGCATTGTTCCCACACATACGTACCATATTGGAATATGTATCAGAGACATTGTAGAACATACTTTTTTAAGAGTAACGAATGGAGTTTGTTGCTCGTGCTTCTCTATTCGAATCTACATTTTGGAATGAGCACCTAGCTTCACTGACGGACTGACTGATAGACTATTATTTACTTTGTATTGATTGACGTTTCATAAGTACCAAATTATAGTTTAATTGAAATAAATGCTTTGACTTTGACTTTAAAATGAGAGCATTATATTGTAAAAGGATTTTTCAAAGTTATAGAGGTAAAAAAAGGCTAGGGCTTCTGTTTCTTGGATTCCAAGTGTATTTTAAGATGTACATAGGTGCATTTAGCTGTTAATGATGTTGATAAACCTTAACTCGAACAATGTATGTTCATCTCTGTTTACGCCTTTTGACGTAGTCACGATCCTAATGTTACGAAAACTCGACATTTGATATGTCATATTTACTCATATTTTATGTCCATCCTTCGTTTCTTCCTTCACGATAAATCTCAAAGAAGTGCTCTCATATTAAATCTGTTGACAAATTGTCTACATTTGTCATTATTATTATAGCCTTATATGTCCAACGGGATAGGCAGGGGTGCATATTTCAGTAGGATTTTTTATTTACGCGCGAGTGTCCATTTAACTACAAAGTACTTGTTTTTAAATATATTTACATAATGTGTTCTGTGCCGATTCTGGTTTAGTCTACGTATAAGTCATAAAATGGTTGCAAAAATTAAAATTAATAATTTTATTTATAGCTGAACTTAACTATATTGAATTCAGCATAGTATAATATTGTAACCAGTCAGGTTCAAACTTAAATAAGTAGGTAAGTAATGCCCGAATACCGAAACGTTACTCAATTTTAAGTCGCGCTTAAGCATAGTTCTATCTCTACAAATTCTTTGTAAAATGACAGAGACAGCATGATATTTAAGCACGACTTAAATTGAGTACCGTTTCAGTATTCCAGCATAAGTTTTGTCTTTTTATGCCGAAATATTAACAATTTTCGTAGGAACTAACTTCACACGCAAATTGTATAAGTCAATATTTTCCTATGGGGAACTGGGAATATTGATCTGAACTAACATAGATATTATATACTTGGACATTTATGGACGGAATCATCGTCTAATTAATCGGATCGACGTCTCACTCCCTACAGCTTATAATTGTGTTATATTACCACTAGTTGTGCCCACGACTTCGTCCGCGTGGAATAGTGATTACAGCTTCTCTCCAGTAGATGATAATATGTAGCTTATATGTTGACCCTATCTATTAGTAATGTCCATGCAGTACTTTTTTAGTTTATACATACAGGACATACATACAGACAAATAGTAAAAAATTCGATATCAATTGTAGATCACACAACGAATATTTTTAAAAAGTACTTCTTTTTAAAAATACTCAATGTACAGTTTTGACTTACCTACGATTTATTATATGTATAGATAGATAGATAGACTGCCTCGTTGGCCGAGTGGTCGCAAGTGCGACTGCCGGGCAAGGGGTCTCGGGTTCGATTCCAGGGTCGGGCAAAGTATTACTGAGTTTTAAAAGAACTCAGTAGTAGCCCGGAGTTTGAAATTGTGCCCGGTATATGACAATAGACTCACCCCCAATTACATGGGACTCATAACATAAATAGTGAAAAGTGAGTGTTACACTGTACAGTGGCATATTGTGCACCTCTGCCTACCCCTTCGAGGATAAAAGGTGTGATGTTATATTATGTGTATAAAGATGTACATACAAAGAATATTAAGCTAGACTTTTAAGTCTTTCAAAAAAACAAATTCTAGAAGTTTCCAGAACATACGATACCAACCATCAGAGTTCAATCTATGTAAAATTAAGACTATTGTTCGTCAAATATTTTACGAAGACGCAACTTGTCCATTGATATTGTAGTAATATATTTTATGTAAATAATATTATATTGCCACAGAAAAATCGATTTATCAAAGAATCGAATTAATCGACTAATGTAAAACTATACTGTCAAATCATTATTGGTAATTATTCAATAAGTTATTTATTGTGAAAATAAATTATATACATGAAACCATTTTGAATCTTATGTACATACATAGGTACATAAAATTCAAAATATAAAAGATTTTAAATATTGTATACTTTAGTAACTTAAGTAATTAGCCATATTCGGCTGTAGTCGATTAATTTATTGAAAAAGTCTGTGTAATCGAATAAATGTTTAGTCAACTAAATGTGATAGATGAATTAGTGAAATGTAACGATTTATATACGAAATTGAGAATGACTGAAAGGATTAGAAGGTAAAGTGATTCGAAGTACTTAAAGGTATCCGTAACTGACTTTTCTTTAGTCGATTTTGAACTCTTAAATCATTGTATAAAAGTCAAATGTTCGTTTAAGATATTGTTCGTTTCGGCTACTTTGAGGTGCTGTGGTCTGTACATTATTGTCTGAAAAATTGATTATATTTATTGTTTTTTTTTTCATGAACCTTATTGGAACAATTTTTGTAATGAACGTAGTTAAATGTACCTAATTAAGACTTTATCGTATACCTAAGTCATAGTTGTAAGCCTCGGTGTGTCAATGATTGTTCATTAATTAAGATTTCTATAGATTATATTGATTGAAGTGTAAACAGTACTTTTTTGCAAATGAGGAGTAAAAAAACAATGAATCACGAAATCTGCTGATGACAAAATTTCTTTTTTATACTAGGTACGCACGTACTTATTTGTATGTTATGTAAACAAGCGGTCACTGTAGTACAAGTACTCACACCTGGACCACCAGAGGTGTCACAAGTACGTAGTCAACCATTAGACATAGGAACCTGCAGGGACATTAACAGAACTATGCCGTTCGGGCCCCGTGGCAAATTCATCAGATGGGCCCCCGCTCCCAATACAAAAACAGAGAAGTCCAGATGAAATCTTCTGAACAGGGGCGTCCGTGGCATGCTGACTTGTCAACCTGTAATTATACCACAGGGAACAAATAAAATTGTGAAATCGTTTTCGAAGTTACCAAAGAGTTAGGTACCAAACTTCAACTGAGTATTGTTATGAGTGGGAATGAGTGGTATTGCTTATATTGTTTTATTTATACTCTAATAGGTAATCAGTTTTTAAAGCATAATTTGGACAAATAGGTACCTACGAGTCTTGTCAATGTTTTAAACTGTAAAAAAGGTGTTATT